ATGTAAGCAAATAGGTACTAGCCGGCCCTAAAGTCCATGCTTAGGGCAAAATGAAGATTGAAACGACAGTTTATGTAAAAGTTTGTTGAAAAAATACTGGGGTCAGGAAAGATGGCACAAGAAAAATCATGCCTATCTTGCTAGGACAGGCAAAGTAATAAAGAATAGCGCAAAGATAAAATAAGAGAAAATTATAGATCAAATATTACCGACAGATCGCACTCACAATTACAGAAAAATTGGATGATATAGGAAGAAAAACTATTCCTATTACTGCTTACATGGCAGATAGCAGTGCAAAAAGGAAACGGTAGTAAAGTAAACTCTGAAATAGATCAGCAGAAAGTCGACATACTTAAAACCCTTGTATATAAGTGAAAAAAACATCTGGGCTATCAAGATGAAGACAAATGAGTCTGAGAAGAATAGCAATATATGTGCGTTCGCTCAAGCACTGACATTTAACGGAGGTTAAAATAAAGTAAAACTAAAATAGTTCATGAACGAAGAGAAAAAGGGTTAAATATGTCTATTATTGGAGTTGATCAGTTAGGTTGGGCGCGCAAGTCAAATGATGTAAGCGGGAAGTAAAGGAAAGCGTAGAGTAATATGCAAGGAAGGTTGGTATATCACCTGCTTATTTTAGTTGCGAACGCCAGCTAGCTAATTTTTCACATTTACAAAAGATAATATACATCATTATGTCGCATTAAAATTAAAAAAACACTCGTTTGATCCTTATCAGGGAGAAAAGGTAAAATAAGAGGGTAAATATAAGTATAAATAATCTTAGTGACCGCGTCAAGAAGTATCGATAGATGGAAAAATAGGGCAAAACTTAGAGAAGGTAGAGCTAAAAAGTGAACAGCCATTCTGGGATCACAATATTATGACAAATCGGATGATGGAGAATGCTGTATGCTCTTGATCCGGAAGGGGTATTAACAATAACAATTGACGGTTAATTTCAGTGCAGCATATTTTTAGTTTGAGACTAGTGAAATGATATATATATGAAATTAGTACACACTAGACTCGTGCTCAACAGTTATATATTTCCAAATTAGCTATCAGCATGGTTGAAGGCAGAAAAGGAGGGAAACATATAGGAATTCGAACTTGTAAATGAGCCAGAATAGCCTGATGAGGCAGGAAAAAAGCTGAACGGTGGCCAAAATATAAAATCAGGCTGCATGTGAGTATGTTTGGGTGAAATGAAACGGCCGCATGTAAGAGTGCATAGTAGTAGACTCCATGTCATGGAATTGAGTGAATTCGAGAGCATGTAGACAGGTATAACATTATACATCAACAACCATTTTCTTGTGTACATCAAGACCACTAACAACCTCACAGAATTCTTCAAATGAGATTTTACCGTCTCCATCCTTGTCAGCAAACATGATAGTTTTATCGACAATCTGTTGTAATTGAGCGTCCTTTAAATTGTTCCCTACCATCATTTTCAAGACCTGTTGAGAATAAGAATTAACAGATTATACAAAGTAAAATATAATTATTTGAACATGAACAGGATAGTATACAAAGATAAAAGTTGATCTAGCCAGGAACTATTACTAAAATCCTTAGAATTGAATTATTATAATGCATTATATAACATTAGTGGTCAGAATGAAAAAACAATTAATTTCACCTTAGCTAAAATTATCATATGCGTATCAATATTGACGATATATACTGAAAGAGTAGAATAGACGTAGTCGTATTGAGTGAGATTTCAAGACTATAAGATCTCACATATTAGCTTTAATATTAAATACGGATTAAATGCCCGAGTAAAGATTGTTAGAATTTTATGGAGCTTAAAATGTACTGCTTTTAAGTGGTAAATAATTTTATTTGGAAAAACCTGTTAGCAAGATAAAGACTATCAATCGATAATGCATACATCATAGTTAAGCATAAAAAATCAGCCCGAAATAGTGCCTTGAATGATTAACTAACTTTAAAAATACAGTCTAGGAATAAGGAATTGTGTTCGAAAGTATAGAAAGCGCAAAAGTAGGACTCCAGAATAGTCCCGTGAACGAAGAAAAGGGGAATATAAAGAAAGATAATCAACTCATGAGGATTTTTATGGATTGCAGAGAAATATGGAAACCAAGCCCAATAATGCATCAAGAACGCAAATAACCTTCAAAACTTAGCTGAGAAAAGGCAGGAAATGAAGTTAGCAGTTATACCAAATTATTAATCATATTAAGAACATACAAAATCGGACTATATGATGGGATATAAGGCATCGAAAATGAGGGTTCAAGTAGTATAACAAGTAAAAGATATAATTTGAGAGCACGGAACTATTGGCAATTAATAGAAGCGGGGTCATGAAGAATCCCTTAGCATATTGATGCTGGGCATACAATTTATTTCGTTTGAAAAGGTGTATGAGGCGTGGCTGTACCAGATACTGAAGGAATATCATGGGCTTGGAGCTGTGGTTGTAGCTTTGTGCAAATAGGTTCTCGGCGTACCGCCCTACGACCCAGATGAATCCTTGTTGTCATGTGACGGACGTCGTAAGAACAGGATACCATGCTTAGGAATACTCCAAAAACACGAAATCAAGAAAGGTGGCCGGCTCCAAGCCTACTTGATTCTTATATTTCAATTTGGTCCACTTACGCATCTCATGTTTTTGCTGGATGTGCTATGCTTTGTCTCTATATTTGTCCATAAGTTCAGTTAAGTGGCTGCGGATGACGTGTAAAGTGGCTACAGATGAAGCGTGAAATGGGTGCAGTTGAAACTGAACAGCTGAATCCTCCCCTAAAACACTTATGTCTTTGATCCTGTAATGTTACCGCATGCGATTGCGTCCAATTGCACACGTGTTGTGTGAGTGCATTACTCTTTAAATGAGTGTAATGTGAGAGTCAAAATCAAATTCCAGCCTAAACAAGCATAACAAAGGTTGACAACTATTTTGGAATATTGTCAAATAGAATGAAGGAAAATGCATATTTAGGACTAGATAACAAGATAGATTACTCTACCAGGATCCTTATGCTGCCATCGTGTAATCTGTCGAAGATAGACGAATTACTGAAGTGGGACAACACGACCATTTACAAAAAGAAAATAACTCTGTCCTCGGCATTGCCTTCTTTTCGAAAATATTCTGACCCGCTCGGACTGTTACAAGGTTTTGTGTTCATGTGGTAGTGCCTATGTGGAAGGGACCTGTAGACCCATACATAAGATGTTATCCAAACACAAAACAGCCTGCAAAAGTATGTGGGTCAAAAAATCGGAATTGGTCGAACACATGGCTCGCACAGAACACCAGATAAATGCCAAAAGCTTAGCTGGATATGGAGACTATACCAGTAAGCGAACGATTAGGGAGGCGATAGAGATCAGCAAAACAACCAACACCATGAATAGAAGGAATGAGTGTAGGAAGCAAAGCGGAAACTACTTGTGGCTGTTGAATAGGTTTAGAGGGGAGGAACGAGAAGAACCACCAAGCAAGAAGAGGCTTGATTAGGCTGGAATTTGGTTTTGACTCTCATGTCACTCCCATTTAAAGAGCAACGCACTTACACAACACGTGTGAAATTGGACGCAATCACATGCGGTAAGATTGCAGGATCAGATGTAAGTGTTTCAGGGGAGGATGTAGCTGTTAGGCTTCAATTGCACCCATTTCACGCTTCATCTGCAGCCAATTCACATGTCATCCGCAGCCACTTAACTGAACTTATGGGCAAATATAGAGGCAAAGCATAGCACATCCAACCAAAAGATGAGATGCCTAAGTGGAGTAAATTAGACTGTAAGAAAGAAGTAGGTTTGAAACATGTTCCCATAACTATCTCTTTTGAATATTCATACAATTTACATTTAAATGTTGGTCTAATGTTAATCCTAAAACCGGAATGGCTCCATTTGCCGGTATATTAGTGTAAATCGATATTGCATCAAAAGCTTAAAAGCAAATCTTCCTTATATCAAGTTAATAAAGACACATGAATTCTTTATTCAAAACCGCCAAAGTCTTGAGATTTTCCTACATTTATCACAAATAAATCTTTTTTATGCATCACACAACCCAAATTATCTACAATGACCCTAAATAGGACCCTTAATTTGTGAATCCTGGGCAAACCATATGTATCAAGAGGCCTAGCATAGTATTGAAGAAGTGCGCATCCTCAAAATCTCCAGTTCTCCATTACCAACGCAATGTTGCAAGCAACTTAGAGTGCGTGTAGGGTCCTTAGCTTTAATGATATACTTATCAAAATAGGCAGGATCATATTAAGGTTAATTTAAATAAGGAAAAGCGGTGACTATACCTGTTCCTCTTCTATGCAACTTCACTCGTATACATATATGTAGGGCAAGCACAAAGTAACTGACCAAACCATGAGACGCCTCATTAAGATAGCAAAGTTAGGTAAAGGAAAAATGATTTTAGCCCGCCACCTTTCTTGGTTTAGTGTTTTTTATGATTGTGTGTCAATGATGGTATATGGCTCTGCCGATGTCTATCACATGATAGACAAAAGCCCTGCCCGGATTTATCGGTGTCGCAGGATGATAGACAACAATTAAACAGTCACAAGTCCAATGTAATCCTCATTTGGTGCTCGTTGAGGATTATGAATCCCTAAAAGAGAAAAACTTTTTGGGATGCACACCAAGGTAAAATTCAGCTCAAAAATAAAGCCTTTTCGTCAATTCATCAATGGTAGATCCATCATCGTCTCTATAAGGCAACTGGATCACATTGATGTTAAATATTGGACAAAAATAAGATTAATTAAGCAGTTTCAAGAGGAGTGAAAAGAGATACCGATCAAAATCTAATCTTAAAAACAACTTGTTGAAAATGTAAGTTCGAATACCGAGAAATTCGAGATACACCGTCAAAATCAAAACATTCCTTAGTTCACAAAAAATTAAGAATAAGACAGACCTAAATAGATAATGATCGATTGTTAATGTTCGCATCTTATAGATCATGGTTTGTGAGACACTAAATCCCTTGCAATTTGATACCAAATGTAAAGATAAGCATACAGATAATTGAATTATGGACATAGGAGCCATACATACTAGTACCCTAGACAGGAATAATGCAGGAATAGAAGCATTTGACAGGATTAAGGTATCAGACGTGTGATTGAGTCTGACAGACAAATCTGAAGAAAGTAGAGGAAATATCAGAATATGAATGAACGAATACATTAAAATTAGATAATTCTTTCAAAACAATTAGAACCAAACCAAGCCTCGGCAATGTATTGTGCTCGTGGTAATAGAACTCAAACTTCGATCGATAGGTAAGGGGATATGAAAGCAAAGGATTTTGTGGTTATCGATAAGAAACTAGAGCAATTTCTAAATGTGAATGAGATATCCAGGTACAGTGTTAGCTTATTATAGACTAACCAACAAAACAATCGAAGATTTGCTATCATTAGGGTCGGTGAAAGTATAAAGAGCAAGAATATGATGACATACAGAAATGCTCATTAGAGAAGAAAACATTCAAAAATAAGACTGGGTGGGGATAAACCTGGTTTTGACTTTACTTCCCTAACGCTAAAGTGGAATACTTATTGGCTAACAGGTCGAAAACATATCAAAGGATGTTGGCATATGCACAAACCCAAAAGTTTAGGCCAGAAGGATACGAAGGAGTTCGCACGGTCCCTGCAACGTTAATTTATTTACAAACAAAGCGAAGATAACTGGGATTATAAAAGAAAAATTGAGGATACTAATTAGAAACGAGCGTAGTGATGAAAACTTACTGTGAATAAGCCTGTACGGCAAATTAAAGTTCAACTGAAATCATGGAAGAAACAAGATGCGTTTCAAGTTAAGTTCACTAATAGAAGAAAATGCATAAACTACGGCTCAGTGAATGAATAAGTATGGTAGTGTCCTTCAAGCCCTTTT